TAAAATTTATCAAGAAGTTTCTGTTTTTGGATTTTTCGTTCACAGGAGGCAGGCGAGAAAAACAGTTTTTTTCAAGAAAAAAGAAGTGTTCCTAGTGAAGTATTCTTTTAAAGTTCGTCTTGTGTCATTCTGCTCTGTCCACCATTTAACTAAAGCTAAATCATACATAATGCAAATCAATTAAAATATTCAGATCCAAGATGCAGTTTAATAGGTGTTCAGTTTCATCAATTAAAAAAATCTAAATGCCTTGTGCATCATTTTATACATATTGTGCCTTTAATTCAGCCTGACATTTTACATTTTAGGTCTGGGATTTTGACTTGAGTGTGATCCAATATGACTACCAAAGAGCTTGTAAGGGTGAAAGGTCAACTTCACCAGTTTTGTGTACAGTATAGTACAATATCAATATATTTTTGTATTAGTGAATAATAATCCAAGCAAAAGACAAAGATCCCTGTGTGCACAGTTGCACTCAGGAACGTTACCATTAGCCTTAGAGACTGGAAGGTTTACCGCCACCCCAGAGGAGGACAGAATTTGTTTAATGTGTAATTTAGGTGAAGTTGAGAATGAGGTTTCTGCATATGAAGACATATGTATGTTTTAGTAAATGAACTCTATTTGTGTTGATTTCTTTTGGCTGGATGATCATGAATAATTTGAGTTTTGTGTCAGAAAGGGAACCTTTTCTGTGGCTGAATTTCTTCCAGGCCTGGGATAGAAGGCAGAATATTTGGTTTCAGGACTGGGCAGTAAAATAACATGTACTTTGGACTGTTTACTGCAACGCCATTGTAATGGTGTCTTGTGAACCCATGAAGGTTGGGTACATGTAAGTGTGCATGACACACACAAAAGAAAAATCATTAATTTTCATCAATCATCTTAGTTATCAATTTTGAAATGATATTTTCTGCACATGGTGATTCATTAACACCTGAATGAAAACTAGAGTTACTGAAAATTGAATGCATTTCAGTGGTGCTTTCAACACTTTGCAAGGGTCAGTGACAATTTTAACTATTAAGCTTTTTTTCATGATTGCAAATTTATGAAATGAATTTTAAAAAGTCAGTCTTATACATAGCTTTTTACTCCTTAAATTCTCAGTCACTCTTTGTGTAAATATTCCTCCTTAGACTGCCTTGGCTCCACCATTTTTGCCCCAATAAAGGCAGACATATCTGGGAACATCACAGTAAGTATGATAATTCTTTCATGTGACCTCAGTTCAATCTGTCGCTCTACTCTTACATCTCTTAGTAACATTATAATACAATGAAATGTACTGTACTCCTAACAGAAAATCAAGGCTGTTTATGACACCAACCCAGGACGGTTCAAGACACTCCAGCAGATTTTGGAGGCGGAGAAGGAAATGCATGGAGCAGAATGGCCCAAAGTTGGAGCCACGTTGGCACTTATGTGGCTAAAAAGGTTTGAGACATTTGACATTTCAGGTTTTATACATGTCTGGGTTGCATGTGTTTAAAATTTGGTCTGCACCTGTTATAACTGTGCTTGTCTTCTTTATTGACCAGGGGTCTACGGTTTATTCAAGTCTTCCTACAGAGTCTGGTGGACGGTGAAAAGGATGAAAGCAACCCAAACCTCATTCGAGTCAATGTCACTAAAGCCTATGAGATAGCTCTGAAAAAGTATCATGGCTGGTTTGTGCAGCAGCTCTTCAAGGTGAGTTCAGAGTTTGATAGGCATGTCTTTTTTGAGAGCAGATGTATGACTCGCCCTGTGTTATTTGTGAAGAAATATACTGCTGAGCATTCAAAATGCCAAGTTGTGTATAAATGTAGTGTTTGTATTTGCTCTTCCAGGCAGCTCTTTTCGCTGCTCCATATAAGACAGATTTCCTGAGGGCCCTCTCCAAGGGCCGCGACGTCAAGGAAGAGGAATGCTTGGAAAAAATCCGAAAATTCCTCATTAACTTCACTGCCACCGTTGACGCTATTTATGAGATGTACAATAAGCTGAATGCTGATCTTGATTATAAAGTGTGACTGCGGGACGCTCCTCTTTCCTCCAGTGATCCACTTAGTTTACAAAGTAATTTACATTCTGCAGTCTGCAGTCTACATCTTGACATGTCTCCCCTCAGGTCATCTGACAACTCACTGCGGGAGTGTATTTATAATACTCTGTCGTTACACATCAAATATTTGTGCACTTTTAATCATCTGTGTGCCTGTTCTGGCTTTCTCGTTCTGCCTTTTCCTCACTGTTGTCTGACTCTGAGGCAAGTTTCCCAAAGCAGCTGCAGGTTTAAACTCACTGTTTCTCTGTTCTCTATTTGAAGAGTCATGTTTCTTTACAGCATAAGCAACAATATAGACAGATATTATGTGCTTCACCATAAGATAATTATACCAAAAAATCAAAATGCTGCTCAGCAAATGTTTTTAAAACCAGGACTGTTACAAAAGCTTTAAATAAGAGAGTGATGCTGACAAATTTAATGAGCCACATCACTATCAACACTGTATATAATACAACAAAAATAATCTTTACACCTTATAGTGTTTATCAAAGATTTTAATTTCATATGTTTAAATTGTTATTGTTCTATATCCTGAGATAAGATAAGGGCTGCATTTACTTGTATTCATACAAAAAAAGGACAAAACAAGACTTTAAAATGACTTATATTGAAATAAACTTGACTAAACTCAAATTTTTTACAAACACTTTGGAAAAGACGTCATGTTCTTCATCATACGCAACAAATACTGTGTAGTTGTCCATGTTTTGTGGGGATTGTAGTTTTTAGATTTTAATGAACAATTTTACTGCTAAGTTATTACATATTCCTAAGTTATCTATTACAGGTACACAAACTATACAAAACACATAAACAGAATATTTTCCTGCGTCATTTTTGAAGCGTGTTCACCTGTTTTTGCCTTAAATTGGATCTACAGAGCATTTAAGCAACCATGTCAACTTTTCTGCCTTTAGTCCTCTATATATTTTATACATTTGTGTGAAGCAGGCAGGCTGTTATAGAGCAAACTGTTAATTATTACTGAGGGTCTTGTCTGTCTCTTTTATACTTCCATGCTATGCAGAACTTGAATATGTATTTTAATCTATTTTTCCAAAGTGATGCTTCATCAGCACAAAGTGCTCCTCTGTCCACTCTGCTCTCAGGTGTTTACATAAAACTGAAAGCGTATTTTCTTTAAAACTCGATGCTGAAGGGATATAAAGGGTTGCATTATGGCTTTTTGCCTCCTACATGGTTGGAAGGTAGAATTTCAGATGCTATATTTTGACATCATATTGACCTTGAATAAAGGGGAAGGTTGGTGGCCTTTGGCTGGTCAGTACTGTTTTGGGTTCATGTGCTGAAATGCTCATCTGATGTGTCTCTTGTGGCTGAAATTATGTTGCAGTGCGTGTATAGTGCAAATAACAAATCATGTATTTTCAATTTATGTAAACCATAATTTGCAATAAAAATATGTGCAATAATTCATGTGACTTTCTTTACTTGTTGTGCATCGCTATGATTTTACATCACTGTTTTACCCTACACATCACAGATCAGATAAAGCAAACTGCAGTGGTGGAAAGTAAATAAGTACATTTACTCCAGTTCTATAATTAATATAAGTTCAATTCAGAGATACTTGCACTTAACTCACATTAATTTGTTGCCAAGTTATATTTCCTCTCCATTTCATTCATCGGAAAATATTGTACCTTTCACTCCACTTCAGTTATTTGACACCTTTAGTTACTTGTTACTTTGAAGATCAGCATTTTATATGAGCTATAAATCATGTAGTCATCAAGGAAAATATGATGCAATATTACAAATTAAACTACTTAACAGTACAGTATAAAATAGTTTGACCTGCTGCAACATAAAAAATATGCTTACACTGATGCATCAGTTATAATAATACATTAAGATAAATTCCTAAGCTTTTTCACACCCTGCATGGGTCGGCTACAGCACAGGTAGAAATTAGTCAAGTTTTCAATAAATGCAAGGGGGAAAACTAACCAGGAGTAGTTTTTTTCTTTTGTGTACAGCTCTTCCTGCTCTCTTTGCCACCACTCCTTACCTCCAGAGATTTATTAAACTGTACTTCACTGAGTGATTTTGAATAGTTGAGAGGTGGGTCAGTATTTGTGAAATACTGCTCACAACAGGCATGTTTATTCAGCAGTGATTAAACTGGGATAGAAAGCAAGGTTACAAATTAACTTTAACTCTCAATTTTAAAGCCAACAAGACGACAAGCGAAAAATTTAACATTCCAGAAAACTTCTCATTTGCAATCAGTGCCTGTACTGTCTATCACTTGCTTTGAAGTCTTTCTAATTAATATACTTAAAAAAATGTCAATATCCAAGTAAAGGTAGTACCTTGGTAGGTAAAAAACAATTCAAACAAACAAACAAAAAAGAAAAAAAAGATAAGCACTTAAAAACTGATATTTGCATTTTTGCAGAACTATGACACTATGATGATGAAACTATGATGTGATGGAAAGCTCCAGAACATCTACTAAATGGACCTCCTAGTGAGATTGTTATGTCAACTTTGACTGTGGATGGCTTCTTACATTTAAGGAAAAAAAGGACAAGGTTAGCAACAGGTAGTGAGCAAATGACCTGCCACAATAACACAGGCCTACACATCAACTCTCTTCTGTCATCACTGGAGCAACAGTTTGTTTAATGACCAACACACTCATGAGAAGAAATATCCTGCTTAGACCATTATGTCTTTTGATGACATGCAAACTGTGCAAACCTCCCAAAAGTTACAGGAATAAGTGAGAGGCTTCTCAGATAGTTTGTTGAATGGGTCTTTCCTGACGCCTGAGTTATTTTTGTTTTCTTAGGCAGCGCCTAGCGGCCATCAGTGGTACTACATCTTACACATCAGCCTTGGCTCCAGCCTTCAGAGTCAGCCCCTTTTGTCCCACCCAAAATCTGTGTGAAAGCATCCGTTGTTCGGATGGACTTTACCGGCGGTCGGACGCACGGATGAGAGGCGAACTGTGATTTAGTCAAAGCAGTTAGTGTGAAGTGGCAGGAATCACATTAAACCCGAGGAGGCAGCAGAGCAGCGCTCAACAGGAGAAATTAAAGTTTCAAACCATGGAAAAACTGCTGCGGAAAAGTTTAGAGGAAGAAAGAAGAAACACAAAATAAGATCAACCGATTGGAACAAGGTAAGTAACACCTCTGGTCCTTATACTCTTCACTGAATGTCATTAAAGTCACAAACATTGATTAGATTTTACCGTTTTGCATGGGGGAAAACGTATTGAGCTGATCTTACAGTAGTTTAATTATTATTAAGACTAGGGTCGACTTTTCATGATGCCTTATCGTTATTTAACATTTTCAACAGTGTGTGTCATGTCACTTTTTATTTCTTTCATGCCCCTTTTGAGAAATATGTAATTTTTATTTTTTATTTTTTTTATTTATGCCCATTCATGACCAGTTAATCCACACTTTTTTAAAATCTGTCATGAACCTTTACTTCATTTATGTTTCATTTACTAAATGTGACTCAAGAAACACACAAATGTCACATACAAAAACTTTAAAATCATTTTTATAAATTGATTTTTTTTTTCTACTTTTCCCCCAGTAGCTAGCAGAGCCTCCAGCCTCTCTTGCTCTGGATAATGTCACATCAGCAGTGACAGTGAGCAGGAAGTCCCACATCTCTCTCAGTACATTACAGTCACTCACATTTGAAATTCCCACAAGTGGATTTCCACTCCCTGACCCAATAAGTGGATAATATGTGAGCTTTGGGTCTACTTTTTATTTTACGACCCTGTTCTATCATTCTGACAGGTTTAATACACGGTGGGTCCTCTCTGCCGTCAGACACGTCCACCTAACAACTTAATCCTTTGCTCTTAGTCTGCTGTAATAGTTTATCAAGGGCAGCCTCTCTTTGTGCCTCCGTCTTTTTACTATCATATGCCCATTGGGGTGTAAAGGCATGATAATCCCTGTGTGTCAGGCAGGGTGGTGAGTCATGCCTTCCCCTTAGTGGGACCCCAGCTCCCATGTTTATGTTGCTCCTTTGTAGCACAGTCTGGCTTTGCTAGGTTGTCAGTGTCATGAACAAACTGAGGAAACCGTTCAATCTAAGAGGAAGCTTCAAGAGGAACATGTGTGCATGTCATGTTGTACAAAGTCCTGTGTGATGGCATACTGTAGCTGTGCAGAAAAGCACCAGTTGTAATGAGTAAATGTGTCCAGTGTTAAACAGACAGGTGGTGTGATGGAGGAAACATATCATTCTGACCAATGAGCAGCCAGACTCACAGCCATGTTGTTGGTGTTGGCATCAGTCCTTTCCTACGTTTTCCTTACATCCTAGCCCCGAACAACAGAGCTCTTTTTGTACCACTCAAGACCTACAGATTTGTTTTTGTCTGTACCTCTGTGTCAGTTGATGGTGACTGTTTTTTGTTTCTACAGGACGCCCACATGCTTCAGCATCATTTCCAGTTTTCCCTGAAGAGGAATTTGGCACACCATTGTGATAAAAGGGATGAATGAGGTAAAGAGGGGTTAAAGGCCAAATGTGTACTTCAAAATCTTCTCAGGCTTCAAGTAGCGATTTCTAGGGTCCCTCTGGTAATTGTAGTCTTCATACAATTTCTTACTCAATACATTATATTGTTCACTTTGCTTCTGCCATAATGAATATGCCTATGATAAAGAATAATCTATGTAATGTTGCTATTTCCTGCAGTAGTTTAGGTGGGTGTTACTTCTAAAAAACTCTTCTACAGTCACAACAATATAACAACATTAACTCCAAGTACAAAAGGAATCTTACTTTTACATGCTCTCCTGAGGTCCCCACCCTTAAGTACAATGTTGGAATTGTTGGTAATTCCTGCTGGCTGCATCTGTCTTCAATTTGCACATCTTCCTTTCCTTATGTGACCTGGAATTAATCAGGTCCACCAACATTAGGGTTATCCAAGTTCTCTTAATGCTGTTCGAACAAGCAAGAAATGTAGAAATTAAGAGAAAAAAACAAATAAAAAATTATAAAGCAGAAATCACAAATGCCCAGATGCTGGAGATAATAAATGTTTTAATGTGGCAGTTATAAAATAAAGTGAAAGGTTCCTCTTTCACATGATCATAAATATCTGATTACAGTTGAACAGATTGAAGGTTCTCTGTTGAGTTTCTGACCTCTAGCTGGAGCGTTTTTTCTATCAGTGGGTCCCTGTTTTGTTTATCTAATGAATCTCACACATGCAAGTGACATGATACACAGTCCTACCATTGGTTTTACAATATATCTCACTGATGAACAGCCACAGTAACATGACTAGATATATTGCAGTGCACCAGCAAAGGCAGGGAAGAAGAAGACTCTTAGCCATTTAACATGTCTGTGTTTGGAAGTGCATAGAAACAGAGACTATTACTCATACTCAGTATGATGTCAAATTGTGTATGTGAGTATAAGACGTGAGCTCACTGGACATACTCAACTGCCCCACAATGCATTGCCTCTCTTAAGCCTGCACCATGGGAGAGATTTTGAGAGTCAGGCTAAAAGCTGTTAATACATCACTTTTATAAGTTTTAATATTTTTTCAGGCAAGAAAGTAGCTATTTAAATTCCCAATATGTGCTCATTTTATCCAAATAACACTGGGAAATTTGCTGCGACATTTTTGAAGATGTGAGAGCTGCTGGCCAGGTCAGACCAGTGGTCAGATACATGGATGGATTATTGAATAGGACTATGGGCACAGGCAAAGAGGCTAAAGGTGTCAGGGGCCTTCGCTTGCAAAATGTCAAATGTCAAATTAACAAATACAAACCAGGAAGACACAATCAGACAAAAAACTGCAAAGAGATGCGAAGGAACTGGAAAGAGACAAAAAACCTAGAAAAACAGGCTAAACTACCACAAAGAGACAGAAAACAACTACAAGGAGGCATGAAATGACTGCAAAGTGACACAAAATGACCAAAAAAGACACAAATTACATCAAAGAGACACAAACAACTAGAAAAAGACACGAAATAAACACAAAAAGACACAGAATGCTAACCTTTGTTACCCTAAAGAGACACAAAACCACAAAAAGATGCATAATGACTACAAAGAGACACAAGACCACCACAAAATAGTTGTGTCTTGCCCATATGTAGGAGAGTTGTGCCCAGGAGCCCGTTGTCTCAGTATCTGCCCATGGTCAGATCCAGTATGAAACTGTCACGTGACTGTCTTGCTTGAGCAAACTTCAGTGTGAACCGTGTGTTGCTAATGACATATTTAATTGTTCATTTAGTATGCAGTACATACAGATTAAGTATGTAGCCGGGAGGATGTTAGTATGTGATACAGAGCACAGCCAATGATTTAGCCTAAAATATTTTAAAAATAATTTCTGCAAATGTTTTATGATGAAGGAAATATGTTGTATGTTTACAAGAAAACTCCACTGGCCACCTTTAAGACTTCTCTTTCCATTTGCACAAGACTTCCATGACTACCTAGAGGTCACGCAGCTCACCCAGAACATTTTGTTCATTCCAGGGCCGTTCTGCTCTCCTCAGAAGGTGCCACCTTGCCTTGTCCAAGGCCGACACCCTCAGCTCTGTTCCTGCCAGCGATGCTCTCTCTGCGGACGCAGGCGATGGCGGGGCCGCTCAGCCTGAGAGTGATGCAGCGTTCAACCTGTCAGAGTTCTCCCACCTGTTTGAGAACGAGGACAACTCCCCATCAACTCAGGACACGAGTCAGGATTCAGTCGTGGAGCTGGTTCAGCCTGGTCAGCCCGCAGATGGCAGACAGAACCTGCGGATGAAGTTCCAGGGTGCTTTTAAGAAGGGCATTTCCACCCCAATGGACCTACTGGAATCCACCATATACGAGTCAAATGTGGTTCAAGGCCCCAAAAAAGCACCCATGGACTCACTCTTTGACTATGGTACCTACAGGAACACCAGCAACCAGAAACGACGCAGGAAGAAGCTCCCAAGAGGGTGAGAAGGGGCCCTTACTGTTTTGAAACTACATTTCATGTGTGTTTACAGGTTTTAATACTTGTGTGTTCCTTTAGACTTTACAGTTCGTGGGTTTACTTTTCTGTCAGTAGTGAACCTACACTGGATTTTTTCCAGGGACAAAAGGGCTGGTTTGGAAAAATGTTGTCAGAAAAATGAAAAGCTGCTACCAGTGCCACTCTGTAGACAGAGGTGTGCCACATGAGGAAGTATGTACACACACATACACACACACACCGTGTTCAAAGCAGTCTCTCATTCAGCCCATTCACTGATCTAACAGAGAGCATGTTGTTGGTCACTCTGCAGCCGTTGAGGTAATATTTAGGCTGCTCTACCTGTCCGACACATACACAGGGGTCTATTTAGAGCACTTGAGGGTGTGGATGGTTTCTTAAAAGATGGTTTGTGCATCAAACACCCTTTGGATTATTAATTTTCTGTCAATGAAATGTGAAAAGAGTCCATGGATACGAAGGGAAATCTAGTTTTAGTTGTAATGTGTGACATCATGTCATGTTATTGTCTCCTCAGTAAAACCGAGACGTCCTGTGACGACGGTCAAAGTTCGGACCCGCCAAAAGTAATGAAAATATTCAACCGCTCTCTCCTCTTCGACTGCGTGTCACGTGCAGACCCCGAGGCCCTCGATGGCCTGTTGGAGTACCTGCAAACTCATGAAAAGAGGTTAACTGACGAGGAGTTCAGAGGTGAGACAAAAAGGTTGTTGCTGAATGTGATATCTGTGCACTGCTTTTCTTTGACATGACAGACGACAAGTGAACAAAATGGGTTTGACTAGGAGGAACATTTTGTGATGCAGATGATGCAGATTTATTTTTCACTCTATCACACGGTTTCTGTCAAACCTCTCTCTCTTGAATCTCAACTCTGCCTTTGCTCTAAAACAGAAGCTCAGCTTCATCTAGTGACAGTTTTACCTTTGGCCTTTTGTGTTCCCCTGCTCCCCTCTATATGCTGTTTTTGGCTCAAAGGATGTGAGAGGGAAATGGTGGAGCTGAGTCTTTGTCCTGCTAGAGGCAGGCCCAAGGAAAGCTTCCTGTGTGTGTCTAAGAAGTTTTTTTTCAGGCTTATAACAAGAAGCAGAGAGAAATCACAGCAAACTGTCATCTCCTTCAGAGTGAAACATGGCTTTACAGAGTTTTTCAAAAAAATGAGAGTCTAAAAATAGCGAGGGGCTTTCTTGACCTCTGTCTTTCACAGTTTGACCTCATGAACGCTACTTAATCATTTGCATGCAACAATTCCCAGAACTCTGTCTTCTTATTTTATGGGTTCATTCCCAGAACATTGAGAGGAACACACCAGGAGGTCACATTTTATATGAAACTAGATTCCCAACCAGGGGTTCTTCTACCACAGGGGGTAGTTCTGCAGTTATCAGGGTATACCCGTAAAGATTGTGGAGTAGGACAACGAATTCAATATTATCATAAAGAGCTAATCATCATGGATAAATGGTTGAAATTTCCAGCTTCTGCCAAATGTATTACACGTGCAAACTTGACTAAACCAACCTAAACATTTACACTCAACATTATGGGTCATGTTGATGATGGTATACTAAAACAAATGGGTGAACTTACACAAAAAACTTTGTTTGTTTTCTTTGTTTTAATTTCATTTCTCCACCAGAGCCGTCCACAGGGAAGACATGTCTGCCTAAAGCCCTGTTGAACCTTTACGGTGGGCAGAACGACACCATCCCACTGCTGGTGGACATAGCAGAGAAGACTGGAAACCTCAGAGAGTTCATAAATACACCCTTCAGGGATGTCTACTACAGAGGTATGGATGTGATCGTAACATGCAGTTACATACAAGTCATTTGCAATTGAAAGGAGTTTAAATAAAGAGGTAATTTGACTTTTGCAGTTTTATACAAGACGGTGATCCCTTCATCTTATGCTGGGCTAAAGCTAGCAGAGACAGTGTTTTTTGAGAGCTGCCTTATCTGTCCTGGCTGGTGGTTGAGGCCCTGTTATGGGGCCTTAGGCATGTATTTGTATTATCTATGTGTACAACTCTGTGAAAGAGAAGATCCAGGCCTCATTTGTTTGACTCTCATCCTTTACATTGCTGTGACTAAAGAGGAAAAAATAGGTTTCAAGAACACCTTTCAACACAAAGAGTGTTGTTGCTCTTTAATGTTTTCTCCAAAATTGCTTGAGTTGCCTGTTTAATTAGACTCTGTACATTTCACAATTATGGTCAGTTTGAACAAAAACTCTGCTTTATTTTCTCATGCAGGAAACACTTTTTATGTGACAACATAAAAACTTTTAAGGGCTAAGTTTCTATGGGTTCTGACCCAATAGAAACAACCTGCACGTAAATGTAGCCCTAACCCTTATGGCTTTTAGTCTGTTTTTTATGACCTCGACCCTCAAGCTCATAACTGGGCGTCAGTTTCTCAAAAGAAAAACATCCTGTAGATAAAATGACAAGAGTTGACACTCTTCAATTAAACACAAAGCAACACTTTTGAATACTAATAATAGTTAAAATGTGTAAAATGTATTCATTGCATTGTCAGGCCAGACGGCGCTCCACATTGCTATAGAGCGCCGGTGTAAGCAGTATGTGGAGCTGCTGGTGGAGCAGGGAGCTGATGTTCAAGCCCAAGCCAGGGGACGCTTCTTCCAGCCCAGAGACGAAGGGGGCTACTTCTACTTTGGTAATGACCTTTGTCAGCATATAAATCTAGCGTGGAAACAAAAGAGTTCATTGTGCTGCTGTATTTCCCGTTTTCAGCTAACCTTTTTCTCCATCCTGAGGTGGTAAAACAGTGCAGGCAGACGGTCACCAGAAGTTCTGTTAAAACTGTTACTGTATGTTCTGCCTCATGTGGTAGTAATAATGTGGTGTGTCTGCGGTTTTTATGACTTCACTGGTCACTCTTTGAGTTTCCACACTGGCTCCAAATGCTTATTCTGTCTTTTACAGCACAAAACTGACATCAAAGTTATGCAATATGCACATCAGCAGCTGCCAAGATAACATAGTTAACGCACAGGACATGGTCCTGGCAAGGAAACCGCAGTTGCCATGGAGAAATAAAGTGACATAAGACCCCACCCTTTCTCTTTTTAACGTGGCAGGTTTAGGCTGAGTTAACACAGTCAGGATCCTGCTGTGGTCCAGAGGTGAAGTCCAACTCATAGCCAAATGTTTTTTGAAGTATCGTAAGAGAAACCGTCATCAGTGGTGCTCCACAAACACATGAAAAGACAAGCATGATGTCATATGTTTAAGAGGTTGTCCAGTGAAAGGTGTCAGTGTTCTGCAGTTTAGAAAACATCCTCTGCTGACCCTCCTCTGGGCAGGACCTCACTGACCTGTTAGAGAGGGAAAGAAATCAGCGCTCAACATCGCCCTCTGTGGTTTACTTTAGGAAACAACCTCCAATATCACAGTCTGTGGTACCCAGGAAAAAAAACAGTTATTTATTTATATCAGTGTGTCCTTTTAGCCTTCTGATGGTAATTATAGCAGATATAATTGATTTTAATGTTACTCTACCAACAGCACTGAAAGATGTGTAGCTGGTTATGTACTCTTGTTTTATTTTTTACCCAACCCAATTTTAAGAATTGTTTATTACATTCATGCGTTATATTTCTCACTCATCACAGAGGAGATGATTTCTATTTGCACTTAGCACGCTTGTCATTCCCAAATCCCAGCGTGTCCGCGCACAGAGTGAGTAATTTGCTGCGGAGCTTTGCAGTGAGGTGAACAGGAACCTGGCAGGGCTGATGGCTAATGGGATTTAGACTCACGCTAACACTCTGCATGCACCCGTGCAAATCCATGAAGAGGAGCGTTTCTATGTGAGGTGACAAAGTAATCTGTCACCCATGGCAACGGCTCATTTTCAGCAGCTGCTTTTGGCACTCTGGCCCCATTGCGCTCCTCCTTCAAACAACTGCTAATTGTGCTGTTTTCATAGCGGGGATTTAAGTCAAATCTTTGATCCATGTTTAGTATGCTTTGCAAAAACATACAGAAGCCAGCTACAGTTCTTAATTAACCCTCCTGTTGATTTGCTTATTTTTAATCTGAAATACAGTTGCTTTAATCTCCTGTGAATTCAGAATGAGGTGAGTGCTCCCTCCCTCTCCCTATTTGCCTAGGTGAGCTGCCTCTCTCACTGGCCGCATGCACTAACCAGCCTGACATAGTGCGCTACCTGACTGAGAATCCACACAAGAAGGCCGACCTGCGGCGCCAGGACTCACGTGGAAACACGGTGCTGCACGCCCTAGTGCACATCGCAGACAACACCAAGGACAACACACGTTTCCTCACAAAGATGTACGACCTGCTGCTAATCAAGAGCGTCAAGCTCTACCCAGACTGCAGCCTGGAGACAGTGCTCAACAACGATGGCATGTCACCCCTCATGATGGCCGCCAAGCTGGGAAAGATCGGGGTAGGGATAATGATGAATCAGTGTGTCAAGCAGCATGAGTATAATAAAGGAAATGTTTTCTTCATCACATCTCTACAGGCCATAATTAGTCAGAGGTCAGCAGGTCAGCTTCTCCATATTCCTACAGGTTTTTCAGCACATTATTCGACGGGAGATCAAAGATGAGGAAGCTCGTCATCTATCACGTAAGTTTAAGGACTGGGCGTATGGGCCAGTGTACTCCTCCCTCTATGATCTGTCTTCACTGGATACTTGTGGAGAGGAACCGTCTGTGCTTGAAATCCTGGTCTACAACAGCCGCAATGAGGTGAAAAAAAATCTTAAATCTATGTGCTTGTTCCAACTATAACAAAATACAGCTGAAATTGTTGAACTGAAAATGTTTCCCTCAAGATCAGAGTATTAAAAGCAACCAAGCATAACATAAAAATGTACAGTACAGGCCAAAAGTTTGGACACAACTTCTCATTCAATGCGTTTTCTTTATTTTCATGAGTATTTACATTGTAGATTCTCACTGAAGGCATCAAAACTATGAATGAACACATGTGGAGTTATGTACTTAACAAAAAAAGGTGAAATAACTGAAAACATGTTTTATATTCTAGTTTCTTCAAAATAGCCACCCTTTGCTCTGATTACTGCTTTGCACACTCTTGGCATTCTCTCCATGAGCTTCAAGAGGTAGTCACCTGAAATGGTTTTCCAACAGTCTTGAAGGAGTTCCCAGAGGTGTTTAGCACTTGTTGGCCCCTTTGCCTTCACTCTGCGGTCCAGCTCACCCCAAACCATCTCGATTGGGTTCAGGTCCGGTGACTGTGGAGGCCAGGTCATCTGCCGCAGCACTCCATCACTCTCCTTCTTGGTCAAATAGCCCTTACACAGCCTGGAGGTGTGTTTGGGGTCA